TTAGAGACACTGGTTGGGGCTATGACTTAGGCGTGTGTGGGGCCCTGAAAGTTACTGGTGGCCCTTCATAGGCCGGCAAGGGACCCTCAGAGGTCGGTAAGAGGCCCTCAGAGTCGCTGGTAAGAGACCGTCAGATGCGCTGCATAGGGCCCTCGGAGGCGCCGGTGTGGGGGCTCTCAGAGCCGCCAAAGTAGGGCCTTAAGAGGCACTGGTGTGGGGCCCTTAGAGGTGGCAGTGGAGGCCCTCGCAGGCGCCGTTGTGAGGGCCCTCAGAAACACTGGTGCGGCCCGTGGTGCCATAGCAAACGGGTATGGGGCCCTTACAGCTGATCCCTTATTGGCCGGCAAGAGCCCTCAGGGCCGGCAAGGTCCTTCAGAACCTGGCGTGAGGCCCTTCTGGAGATAAGTGTGGCTACACAAGAGCTCATGGGTGTTCTCACAAGCCCTGTGGTCTCCTATCCAGTTGAAGCGTTGCCAGCGCGAGCCCTCTGCTGCCAATTGGCACCGCAGGGCCTCTCGCGCCCGAGGGGACCCTAAACCCTATAACGGACACGCGCCTCCTCGACCCTGGCCATACCATTGAATCCGAGTGATCACGGGCCGTTCAGATAATCAGGGGCCTCTCAGGTGACCTGGGACCTTTCAATTGACCAGGGGGTTTTCAATTGACCAGGGGCCCACCAGGTGATCAGGGGACCCTCTGATAACCAGGGGACGGTTATACCAGGGGCTCCACGGGTAACCAAGGGCCTTTATGTGACTTGCAGGGGCCCTACCTAGAACCAGGTACTCCCCGGGTAAACATGGGCCCTTCAGGTGACCAGGGTTTCTTCAGATCACTGGTCAGGGGTCACCCAGGGGATCAGGGGCCCCTCAGGTAGCTAGGGGCCCTTTAGATAACTACGGCCCTCTCAGGTAGCCAGGGGCCCCTCAGATAACCAGGGGCCCCTCATATACCAAGAGGCCCCACCGGTAACCAGGGGCCTCCCTCTCAGATAATCAGGGGCTCTCAGGCAATCACGGGCCTTTAGGTAATCAGGGGCCCCTCAGATAACCAGGACCCCTCAGGTAGCCAGGGCCCCCGTAGCCAGGGACCCCTCAGGTAACCAGGAGTCCTTCAGATAACCAGGGACCAATCAGGTAACCAAGGCCCTCTCAGATAACCAGGAGCCCACAAATAACCATGGGCCCCTCAGATAACCAGGGACCCCTCAGGTGACCAGGGGGACCCTCAGGTAACCAGGACGCCCCTCAGGGCCCCCATGGGCCCCTTGGGTACGTCACTGCACTCAAGTGCCCCTAAGGGCCCACTTGCATGTTTGATGCCTAAGGGGGATGCCATGGCCTCTTGGCCTCCCCCCTGGATACGCCACTGCATAGGACACACGTCATTGCTGAATCTGAAGCTGACTCGCAATATAACAGAAAATCCCGACCGCAAACTAACACCGGCCACATTGCCCCACACCCCCGGCCAAATAACCCTGCTAGTGGGGCAATTTGGCCGCCTTGCAGACCTTTGTAATACGTCACAATTTCAATATAAGTAATTACTCTATCATTTCAAGTTCACTGTCCAGTAAAGTAAAATGAATGCGACACCTGCCAGCGTTGAGAAAATGCAGAAATGTGTCGTCAATTTTAAGTTATATCGTTTTCTAAAAAAAGCGGCCAAATTACCCCACTCTCCCCTAGGTGTAAAATTGATCAATGCGATGGTACTGAAAGTTTCGTCGCGATCAGCCGCTTTTTACGCGAGTTATTCGCGAAAAACCATGGGGAAAGGGGGTCCATCCGACCCCCCCCCCCTACACATGCGAGGGTTAAAAAAAAAACATGTTTGTGGGATAATGTTGTCCTTATCCTAAAAGAACGTTCATTTGACCCTTTTTACTTCTTTAAACAAGAACTCCGTCACGACCCGATGTTTTTTTTTGGGGGGGGGGGGCGAAGGTTGTTTGAAGTCGATTCTTTCCATGCAGCATCCATATGCACAATGTTAAAAATGTAAAATATTGGGGGACACGTCCCCCGTACCCTTCCCCCCCCCCCCGGTGGTGGAGCCCATGGTCTTAATTCCGCTCGCTGAACCGTTTAAGATTCTTTTGTCTCGTTTGTGCTTATTATTTTTCCACTGTTATTATTTTTTCCGACTGTTTTTTTTTTTAATGCCTACACACATATTTTCGTACACTATTCGATTTCAGCGAGCATTTTCAACCTTCCTTACATATTAGATTATTAGATACCGCGGCGAGACGCGTTTGGACGTGACATACTTATTTCCATTACTGTTAAGTATAACACATTTTATGTGATTGTTTCAAGCTGATTTTAATATTGGACGCCCATGGAAGTGTTTTGCGAGACTAAAACCCGACTGTTAAGGTGACCATCCGACCTTGACCCGCGCTGTGCTGGGTGGCGTTTTACGCCCCCCACCCCGCCCCCTCAGGTTTTTCGCGAATATCTAAGAACGGCGGCGCGCAGCGCCACCATTTTCGGCACACCTGCTCATACATTTGTTTCTGCATATGAAGAAATTTTATACCCAGGTCGTTCAAGGTCAGGTCACGTCAAATGACTTAACATCGGAAAAATTTCAATGGTCGCTGACGATCGCACCATTCGCAACGTGCCATGGAAACCGTTCGATATTTTTGTCATTTTCGCTCAGGGAATTCACCGCTCGATTTCACACCAGTTTGAGGTAAAATGTCAAAAAAATATCGAACGGATTTCATTGTATAGCGTTTTTGATACTGTCCCATCACCATGTCTCAAGTATCAACCTTACGGCATGTATAAAATATATTTGCTAGTGCAATAAAACACCTCATATGTGTTCAGCTTGACGGTTTGGATCGACTGATATGCAACATGACCTGGTCAGGTCAACCTAAGGTCAAGTTTTAAATATGGCCTTTCAAGGTCTAATTATAGTTCATTCGTCCCGACGAGAGGAACACTATGCTAACGGCAAAATAAATGTCGTGACTCTTGAGTGGAAAGTATTACAGAAAACATTTGGGTAAAAACGGCTTTTTTAGAGTTTTTGCTCTCTGGAGGCTTAATTGTTGACCTGAGGTCAAATCTGAGATCAAACGCCAGCAAAAAAAAGTCGAAAGGGCTTTTGACTGCATTTTTCCGCGGGCAGCTCTTTTGGTTCCGAGTTAAGCACCAGTTTTTCGAAAATATTGAAATAAGCAAAATTTGGCCTTTCCTGACCTCTGGTGACCTGGCACTTGATTTGACCTTAAAATTACCCAAGTATTTCCTTAAATATCTTTAATGCTTTTTCGAAAGCCGCTTACGGCGTGTCGCTACGTGGCCCAACCCCAACAGCCGAGTTAGAAGAGGGGACGTGAAGACGACCCCCTCCCCCCAGTACATCACGGTAAACTCAGAGCACCAGCACGGCGCGGTTTAACATTAATTTTGAGCTGAAGTAACTTGATAACTTTTGATATTTCAATCACCTTGCATGCCCTATAACTTCCGTTTCTCTTACTGGCAAAAGAAAATCTGACTTTTTTTATTGTGTTTTCAGGGAACGGCCCATTGAGCCTCCTCTGCATCTTGGCGGAGAAGGCGTCAGTGGTGGCGTACACGGGTGACGAAAATTTGGATCACCCCTATCATAACAAGTCCGAAGAAAACGAACGGTGCCGCCTCATCGTGGAGCGAACGGAAGTCTTGTGGGGATCCATGGTTTGGAAGGGAGTCTTTTGCTGTGGGCGACGGCGCATTTTGTGCTCAGTCAACAAACGGCGCACAAAGTGCGAAACACGCTGTGGTTTGTGTGTATCCATGTGCTCCACACACCATTCAATGCTGAGCGCCAGCCACCTGTAGCCGCGAAGACTGAGGTCGAGAAGCTGGCAAGAGTGAAGCTGAGCTGACGTGGAGTCGATCCCCCCCCCCCCCGACGCAGTTTGGCGTGTGTCAGAATTGAAATACAGCGCAATGCGACCGTTTCTACAAACACGTATTTCTTGTAAGGGCTGGGGCGAATAGTGCAAGACTAGACGTTGGTCGGGCATGGTATAATACAGATATGTATGCTGGTTTTGGGCAATGATTCGTTATATATTGGCCAATCCCAATATATAGACTAGCTGCCTGGTAGTGGCTGTTGTATCAGCATCATGCATGCATATTGCATAATGCTGATGCGGCAGCTGTTATCATGGGCGGCGAGCCTATACATTGGCTTGAGCCAATATAAAACGAATCAGATCAGCCGTTTCAGGCGGCGCCTGAGTAACACCCGAGTATCGTATGAGTTATCGACGTGAGTACGCCCTGAGTACAGCCCTAGTTTTCACTGAATAACCGATGAGTTCCAACTGAGTTATGGCCGTACTACCACCTGAGTTATACATTAGTACCAGCTGAGTTACATGTGAGTTACTTCCTAGTTTTTCATGAGTAATGACTTACTAATACCTGAGTTTGGCCTGAGTTGTCTGAGTAGGACATGAGTTACGCATGAGTACTTACTGAGTTTTATCTGAGTTTTACCATCGGACAAAATGGCAACTCACTTTGTTACTCACATGCTACTCACTTGCAATGAGTTTTGCCCGAGTTTTACCTGCGTTCCGCCCTGAGTTTTACCTGAGTACGCGGATTTAGAGTGAGTTTTACCATTGGACAAAATGGCAACTCAGTCATTACTCAGAAAAGTGAGTAAAAATTTTTTTCAGTGTACTTAATCAGACAATTGTCAATATGCAGTTTCAAAAAGTCAATTATGATTAACAAGATGGCCACATGTCAAGTCATGCATAATGCATTGCAGGCAACATAAAAGAAACATGAATAATTGCAGTTTACCCATGGATTAGAGATAACTGGATGGGGCACTCCGGCGACTTTAGCGTCACACGGCCGTTATGCGCATGCGCGAGGAACGTACACGACCGCGACCTTGGCGCCTGTTGTAAACTCAATGGCGGAGTGCTTTGCGGCGATCATTATTTTGCTTTTTCGTGTGATTACGTGTGTTTAAAGAAGAATTTGGGGCGGCATATTTTATATTGAAAGGTGAGGAATGCAGTGAAGGTAAAAGTTTGGTCCCAATAGCTATAATTGATGAAATAACGCCATGCTCTGAAAACAACACCTTTTTGGCAAGAAGCATAAATCGGTGAATATCTCTTTGATACGGTAGGCTAAGTAGATGTGAGGTAGTGGGTTTTATTCAGAATCGTTCCGAGAATCGATTGCATGTAGAATTAAATGAATATTCATGTGTGGTAATAGGAGAATGGCCTTTGAAGTGGTGACTACAAATATGGCGCACATTGTTCATCAGAGATTACACTGCTTTAACATTGGTTTGGAATAGTTTGCCTTATTATAAGAATAATGCAAAATAAATACATTTTAAAGATACTGGAATGCATTCTTATTTAGCCCCACATTCATTTCAGACCTTAACTACAAGTTACAACACTAATGACTTATAATGCTGCATATCAAAGTAGGTACTTCCACAGCGTTAAGTATTATATGTTGAGCTTGAAGTGCTGTCCGGATTGAATAGTTTATTTGTAAACCCTTTTTTCATTAACTGACAAGATTTATAATAAATATACTATTAAAATATGGTCACAGAATTATTATCTTCCACCTACCAATAATTTTTCATTACGAGTTTACGCTTCTTCAAGGAGTTCTTGATTGCAATCATTTTATCATAAATAGTTAATACCTTTTTTAGGAAAAATGGAAATTTATGTCTAGTAAGAAGCTAAATTCCTCCTATAAAAATAAAATGATTAATATTTTATCAAATATACCTTACAAGGAAGTGCATTCGTATTTCTACCTATCTTGTATTCAGGAACATTTCGTTCTTATAATACTTTCTAATAATATAACTCAATTAATATTACTATTATTTTATAAATATGCATTGAAATTGAGTTGATTCTTCATAATATCCACCTATTACATCTAATCACATTTGTACCTTTTACACTTTCCAGTTTGACCAGCTACCAGCCATTGGTTTTGGATCAGCCTGTTTATGAGCACTGGACTGGAAGGATGGGGATTGGGGCTGGGGCAAGATCATGCGATGGCAATGCTTGTGTGGTGCCTTGAGTGTTAAGCATGTATGTGTATTGGGTGTTGTATACAGTGCCTTAGTGTTAGTGTTTGTAAATGCCAGTGTTTGCTTAATTTAACTGTTTGATTGATGCTTAGGGATGACATTGGGCAATAATGTATGTATTGCTAGGATGTTTGATATTGAAAGTAGTTTTGTGTATCACTTATGTTTATAAAGACCAATGGACACCTCAACCCTAATGCGTTAAGGCGTGGAGATCTACTGGTCATGTTTGTATCGATACGTCTCCACTTCCCTACTTGCCCCTTGTTCCATCAATGGCCTCCGTTACTGGAGGGCAGTGGGCACTGATCAGTGTTTTTTAGATGTCTGTGAACTTGTCCGTCCTTGGGAGTTGTTTTGATGGGCTGTTGTTTTGAAGAAAGCTAATGCTGAGCGCTGTAGGTCGGTGAGTTTTTGTTGCAAATAGAATCGTCTCATTCAGCATTCTGTTTACTCATGGCATTTGCTAACTTAAAGGAAACAGTTCACTTTCCTGAAATCAGCATTTTGCTATTGATTTATGATTTTTTATGCTCAAAATAATCATGAAATAAAATAAAACCTTTTTGTAAAAACAATTATTTTCTATATTTTAATATAGGATGAACTATATTCTATGTAAAATAATGTTTGACGCGGAAGCTTATTACGCATTGACCAATCATATTGCGTAGCTCAAACCTACGCATACTGCATTGGCTGTAAGCAGCACGCTGATTGGCTGACGATGACGTGGCTGCATTCCTGTGCAAGGCACGCATTCCTCTACAAGGCACTCTTTTCGGAACGAGAAATGGAATATCTTCGTCTAGGGTGATCGTTGAGCCGTAAAAGCTCCTGATTTGTGCTAGTCTCAGCTCAAGCTACGAAACTGCTATTCCAGCTCAAAACCCCATGTTAAAAGTGAACTATTTCCTTTAATGTGCGGGTGTGTCGGTTCCTGTATAGCTTCTGGTGTATTATAATTCTTTGGGGCGTTAAATAAGAGAATAGAGGCATACATACAGTGGGCCGATTCGACCGTCGACAGGCGGAGCTGAGCTTCAGGCGAGACCGGCATGTCTCGGTAATGCAAGCACTGGAGGGAAATGGTTCTACTCGAACTGCCCTAGTGCCCTCACCAGTCGCCAAGGAGCCGGGTGGGGTGGCTGGCTATGAGCTCAGAACAAATATGGGTGATCAGTGATGAGGTGAGTTGGTTGTGAGGATGTAGAGGACGAACATGCGCAGAAACTGTGGGCGGAATCCGCGATTCGATCGTCGTTAAGTGGGCTAACGTATCTGAGCGACCACGATTTTTATGAAATCGAGCACATTGCACACGTGTAGCATCGTGCTAACTACCCGTTGACACCCACCCACCCATCCAAAGGCCCCAATAGCGCAGCTTGAAACGGCGAGGAGCGTAAGATACGGCCGCCGCTAATGCTCTCAGCCGGCCCGGGCGCCCGGCGGTCGTGTACGTTGTTAGTTCCGGGTTCCGCCACCAGGCGGCCGCCGGCCGCGGCGGTGTGACGCGTAGATCAAAGGGTACCGCCGAGAGTGCCCCATCCAGGTATCTCTTATCCATGGTTTACCCCAAACATAGGATTGCTGATTAATAAGATGCGCACTGTCATTGCAGGGAAAAAAGTACCTACCTGACCACTGACCAGTTTCACCAAGTCACACCAACAGGGTCTATGGTATGACCCAATAACACATGACCAACCTGGTTGTATTATAGTAACAATGTTACAGCCTGACCTGAAATTTTTAATGTTTTTTAAACTAAAACAAAACGGCACAACAGAGAACAAAGGTAGGCATACCACCACAATATTGCTTTTAAACACTGTTTCACCCAAATAAGAAGTGGGTTAACAAATATTTAGTATTAGTCAGGAGTAGGACTTTCTTTATCATGTCCATTGTCCATGTCACATAAAGCTATAGCCATTGATAGGTCAACAACTAGGAAAATGATCTATAAAAATAGCTAGGAGTATCACTCATATTTGGTTACAGTAAGCCACTGTTGACCAATACAACTCATGGATATAAAGTTCAGGGACACATAAATATTTGTCTAAAATTAAAGATTTCAGAGTTCATTTTTGCACTCCCAGCCAGAAATAGCAATTTGAGCTCTTATAGATATGCTTTTAGATGTATTTAACATGTGCATTAATGTTAGCAATGCACATTACACTAGTTCGTATAGTCTGTATGAAGAAGTCGAACTTGTTGGAAGGGATCTTCCTTTTAATTGATTATCTGTTAATTGCCAACTATAATATGCTACTTGAGTAACATATTATAGTTGGCAGGTAAATGGAAAAGATAATCTGAACTATTCCCCTGGCTATGGTATCAGGGGAAAACTGCTGGTTTGGATCGCCGCCTTCCTGCTCGATCGCCGACAGAGGGTGGTCGTCGGAGGTGCGAAGTCCGACTGGACTCCGGTGACCAGCGGAATCCCCCAGGGATCTGTGCTCGGGCCGATCTTGTTTAATATATTTGTGAATGACATGCCTGGTCAGGTCTCCGGCTGCATCAAGCTCTTCGCCGACGATACCAAATTGTACCGCCACGTGACTGGAAACTCCGCCGAGTTCCAAGCCGACATCGACGCCCTCGTCCGCTGGTCGAGCAAGTGGCTGCTGCCCTTCAATGCTTCAAAATGCAAAGTGATGCACATTGGCAGACTCAACCCTGGGAGAACCTACCGCCTGAACGACTCTGCCATCGAGGGAGTTACGGAGGAAAAGGACCTGGGCATCATCATCGACGAAGACCTGAAGTTTCACCAGCAAACAGCGGCTGCCATCGCGAAAGCCTCCCAGATGCTGGCTGTCGTGAAGCGCTCCTTCGCTACCATCAATGAGGTCACTCTCCCTCTGCTCTACAAGTCCATGGTCCGACCTTTTCTGGAGTATGGGAACCTGATCTGGGGACCCTTTGGCAAAGTTGACCAGGCAAAACTGGAGCGGGTGCAGCGCAGGGCAACCCGGATGGTTCTGAGCATCCGGCATCTCCCGTACCCGGACCGACTACGTCATCTTCGCCTCACCGACGACGCAGAGGCGATATGATCACCGTCTTTCAGCCGCTGCACGGCGAGATGGCAGTGGAACCCGAATGGTTCCTGCACAAGAGCACCTCCAACCAAACAAGAGGCCACCAGTGGAAACTGCTCAAGCCCAGAGCGAACACCCTGACACGAAGAAACGCCCTCAGCACAAGAGTCGTCAACGACTGGAACGCCCTGCCGTCCACAGTAGTGTCTGCCACATCGGTTGTTCAGTTCAAGGCACCACTGGACCGACACTGGGCGAACAGGATGTACGACATCCCGAATCCCTACCATTAAGAGCCTCGCCTTTACCTGTCACACACGCTCGATGGGAGCGGGACCTCCAGGCCTAGTGGCCTTATTACCCGATAACCGATAAGGTAAGGTAAGGTAAGGTAACTATGAATAATTGAATACCTAGTCAATAAAACATGAGACAAGCTTCGTGTACCTGTATATCCCAAATTACAAATCACATGGCTTTAGCATGGATTAGGTATTCCTATACTATTATTATTAGGTATACTTCATCCATGGCTTTAGTATCTGAGAGACTTGAGCAAGGCTCACATCAATCCAGTTTAATGGGCAACCAAATTAGCCACAAAGTGAGCATTGAGATAACTGCCCTCAGCAACCATATTTGTAATGCCATGGTAGGCACAGCCCCAAACAATTTGGATTTTTGTCATGTGTCTAGTATCACAGGCATAATTAGCTTTATGCATAAAAAACAGACAATGTTTTGGCATGATTTGGATTTACTCAGCAACATACACAGAGCTGACTTCCTCCATCATTGTATAAAACTTACAATAACATGAATAGGTACCTATTCAATACATTATTTTATTCATCAAATACTCTAAACTGGTAACTACCTAACATTATTTCAGTAAAATTTAAGCAAAATGACCATGAATATTACAATAAGGCCCACAATTATCAATGTCAATGGTCAAGAGTGTATTGAAAGAATAGGTACTCATGGCTTACATGCAACAAAAACAAAACGTCTCCACATCCATAATTAAATAAAACAAAAGATCAAAAGATGAAGTGTGTTTTACACAGCATTAATATGCCATTAAATTGGACATGAAAGATTGAAATGTAGGCAACAACTCATTGTAGAATCAACTGGCTGTTCTAAGGCCTAGTTACAGCTAAGTTCAAAACCACATCAGATTTTGGATCCAGGGCAAAGCAAACATAGTACCTCAATAAAACATGATGCATGAAACACGTTTCCTCATTCAAAACAGCATCAGGTCAAGTTATAATAAGATGTAGTAAGAAATGAACAAAACCAAAGTGTTACACCTACCTACTCCTAATTCATACTTGTCAAATCTGATGGACTCAGGACTGTATTTCAATTTTATCTTAATATCAAGGTATCAAACAGCTAATTGCAAAGCCTGTTGCATGCATGTTTTAATGTGTCAACCCAGTGCTGCCAGATGGGGAAGGCTGTAATCCTCCATATCAGTTACAAAAATCCTCCAGATTCCTCCAAATCCTATTGGTAGATATAGAAAGGCGGTCTTGGACGCTGCGGGGGGCAAGACAGATACTTTTTCTAATAAAAGTTGTTGAGTTTTCGTTTTATCTAAAAAAAAGAAAGTTTTCGTCGATTTCGGGCGCTGCAGGGGGGCCGGGGGCATTTGCCCCAAGAGTCCCCCTTAGATCCGCCAGTAGTTTGGTACCCTCGTAGATATAGCTACAGACTGAGACATTCTGCAGCCTCACGGTGATAAAGGACGTGATATATCGTCACGGGTAGGGTGACGCTGGACAGGAAAATGCCTTTTTAGTCTTGAATGTGTTATATTTTTCCATGAAATTGAATATAATAATCGGGCG